AACCTCACGCTGTTTACTTCATGGATGCTACACACCAAAACATCGTATAATGCTTCCAATGATTCTATCCAGAGCTGGCACAGCTTCCCTATCATCAAATGTCACTGCACGCCACTTACATTCCTTGTGAAATACTGACTTGAACTTGGAACTAAATGTTCAAGTTCATGATTTACAGTGTGTTTAGAATTTAGTACTTAAAATGTTAATATACATGGGAACATTCCAAATATTTAAATGCTTCATTACATTTAAATATTTTGGAAACAAAAATAATTGAAATTCTTAAAACAGTACTTGAAAAACACAATTCAGATATAGTAGAATTTCTATCTATCTATATTTGGTTTATGGCATCTGACATGGTCTCCTGTTCTCAAGGAACCCTCTCCATCTCTCTCTATCCATATGTTACTGTAAATGCTCGAACTATGGTAAATCCTAAGATCTTCCAGTAAAATCTAAGATTTACCAAATCTTTGTGGTAAAAGTCCGAAATGTTCTGCGATCATTGCTAATTTTGAACTTTTACCAGCATTTACTCAGTATATCTTAGGTTTTACCTCAGAGACATGGTAAATGTTGAAAAAATAGTCCCCACTTTCCGCACCGCGTCGTCCCCTTCACTCACCTCATTTCATCATTTGACACGTTAGAACACGCACGTTAATTCTAATCTTGTTTGATATTTCGTTGTCTAAAAGTGATTTATGAATCAAGATGAGTATGAAACGGAGATTTTATGAAATAATGGACGAGCTCGTTGCAAGCAAGAAAGGCAATAACTTTTTACATAAATATATTACAAAAAACTTTTTACACAATAAGGGACAAATACACAAAGTGTTTGGAGGAAGTAAAAGCTGCAAAGAACATGAAAAAGAAACAAGCTGTTCATTGCAGGCATATAAAGCATTACAACATTTTGACTAAAAACTAATTGCACCTATGAAGGAGGAGGATGGAGAAATAAGGTATTACATTTGTTACGAGGACTTATTCAATATTCTTGAAGAAACACATGTTGCTGTTGGCCACGGTGGAAGGACACAGATGCTTAAGGAATGTAACCACAAGTATAAAAATGTAACAGTTGAGGCTACTATGACATATTTGAAGCTATGTCAATCTTGCCAAAAGAAACAGAAGACTTTGAAAAAGGGCATTGTTATCAGACCTATAACTCACAGTGAAATGAACTCATGCTGTCAGGTTGATCTAATAGATCTACAAACTACCCCAGATGGAAATTATAAATTTATTTTAGTTTACCAAGACCATCTTACCAAATTTGTAATCCTTCGTGCGCTTCAAACTAAACGCACCATAGAAGTTGCATACCATCTTTTGGATATTTTCACCAGTTTTGGAGCGCCGAGCATCCTTCATTCCAATAATGGTCAAGAATTCTCTAACCAAGTTATTGAAAGTTTATGCTCCATGTGGCCAGATGTAAAAATCGTACATGGAAAGGCAAGACATAGCCAAAGTCAAGGATCAGCGGAGTGTGTTAATCAAGACATAGAAAATATGTTGAGTACATGGATGGAAACCAATCAGTTATCAAAGTGGTCAGAGGGTTCAAGATTCATTCAGGCAATGAAAAATAGAGCATATCACGAGGGAATTAAATGTTTCCACTACGAAGCAAAGTTTGGTTGTCCAATGAAAATGGGCCTTGCAACTTCAGCAATCCCTAGTGATATGATTAGAGTTATAAGATCTGAAGGAGATTTACAGAAGTTGTTGCATTCGCATGACAATACGGAACAAAATAATGACGTCAAAAATGCAATCAAACAGGACAAGGAAGAAAGCATTGTGAAAATAAGTCAGAAGGAGATATAGACAATAGCACTCTCAACGATAAAATACAAGAAGATGAAATGATTATTACTGAGAAAATGAAGGCGAAGCAAATAACCGATGATTCCAATGTAACAATTCAGAGACAGAAAACATGATTGAGTCTCAGGAAGTTCTTGTAACTATAGAGCCTATACCAAAAAAATAAAATTTGTAGTGACTATAAGAAACAACGCAAAATTGAATTTGGAAAAACAAGCTGAAAAAATGAAAGCCACGTCTGTTGATAAATATCCAAATGGAAAATGGGCCAAAATGTAAGACCGAGAGTGCCTGAAATTGACAAAGCTAAAACCGACCCGAAAAGCGTTATTGCAGTTGTAGTAGATGTAAAGGACAACGAGTTTTACCAACTAGGTACCAAAATTGGAGTACTAAAGCAGCTTTATACACACAATCAATTTACTTCATGCCCTGAAGACTTTATCAAGATAGAAGAAGTTGTTAAAGGTAAAGAAGTGAGTCTTCGAGAAGTTGTCGCAAAATTGTCTTTGACCAGAGGACAAGGTTTCAAGAAGTGCAACTGCTTAAAAAATGTCTAACGAAGAAGTGCGCTTGCAAGTCATCAGGATTACTTTATAATTCTAAATGCCACAATAGCTCTCCATGTTGTAACAAGTAAAATACTTTTTTACTTTTATTAAATGAACAATGAATACCAAATGATTAGAAAAAATACTGTGATTACTGATTAGCTTAGCCAGGTAGCCTATTATATTATTTTTTACAAGATAATTTAATTTTTGTTACGTTAAAAAAAGTATTTTTAAACTGTTTCACTAGTTATTAATAAATAGGACTTAGTAAGTTTATAATAATTGCAATAAATGATTATTAAAATACTCATAGTTTTATTTCTAAAACCAACATTTACTAATCGTCTTAAGTAAAACCCAGCATGTACCAAATTCTAATAGTAAAAGCCCAGAAAATCATCTCACTTTATAAAAATTCTTACATTTACCAACTCATGTTGGTAAATCCAAAGATTTACAAGTAAAACCTAAATTTACCAATATACGGGCTTTTACAGTAACACATACACCATTCCTCTTTAACCCCGTTTTCACTACATGCTAACTTTACTCAGTCGTACCAAGTTTGTCTGGATCTTCCTTTCGTTTTCCTGTTTTGTGGATTGTATTCCATTGATATTTTTGGGACTCTCATCACTCATTGTTTTCACATGTCCAAACCAAAGAAGTTGTTTCCTCTTTATTTCTTCCAAAACCATCTCCTTCAATCGCATTAAGTCTTTGATTCTCATTAGTTATTCTTTCTCTTTTTGAGATTCTGCATGATCTTCTCAATGCATCCATTTCAACCATTGTTACTTTTCTCTTTTCTTCCCCAGTCATTTTGCATGCCTCCACCCTGTATAACAGAATGCTTTTAACAATAGCATTACATATTTTTTTTTTTCTTGATCTAGTTATTTCTTCACTCCACCATATTCCATTTAATCTTTTAACTGCTCTCTTACCTTATGCTAATCTTATATTAATTTCTAATGTATCTCTTCCATCTTAATAAATTTGTATTACAAGATAATTGTAATGTTCACATCCCTCAATCTTTTCTCCTTCTTCCAGTTCCATGACTGTTTTAGCTCCTCCTATGCATAAATATTTTGTTTTACTCATGTTTATATATAAACCTCCTTTAAAATATTCCTCTTTTTTCTTGTCATGTATTCTAGACCATCCTTGTCCTCTGCCATTATCACCTGATCATCCGCAAATTGCATTGTAAACATTGGTTTACTGTTACTATCTATTCCCATATTACATCATTTCATTTTCCATATTTTCAATATTCCTATGTAGATTTGAAATAAAGTTGGTAGTCCTTTTGATACCATAAATCCTTCTGATTTTTTTTTCCAATTTTTATTTCCGTTATGGATTCTCTATATAATTCTTTAACTGCTTTAATAAGTGTTATTAATATTTATCTCTTTTAATGTCTCCCATAATTTTGATATCATCATATGCTTTCATTAAGTCTATAAACAACAAATGAGTTTTCTGTCCTGTTTCTAATCTTTTTTCCATAATCTGTTTTATACAGAAAATATTGTCCATACATGATCTTCCTGTTCTGAATCCACTCTGTTCTTCTTTAGATATAGTAGAATTTGCCATTTATAATCACCATGGGACTTGTCTATACTGATATTAATAAATGAAGAATAACATTAAGTGGAGAAAGTATGTATATGTATATTACAATGGAAATCCTGGTTACATTAATTTTGATATTAAAAGGATTGTTAAAAAAAATATAACTCAAAAATAATTATAAATTATTATAATTAATAGTAATTCAACTAGTGTTGTGTTACTATACATTAGCTGTTTTACAGCTAATGTATAGTACAGTTGAAATATGAAATTCCAGCAATTTAAAATACTATATTGTGAGCAAATAATGACGAATGTTTAATATTTAAAGCATTAATTAAGACTGATGATAATTAAATGTTATCTACCTCATGTCAAGGCTATTAGCACAAAACTACAGCTTAAAAATGCCTATTTATGAGGAGAATATGATACCTATAATGAAAATTTGATGACAATAAACTGTTTATAAGTGCATTTTAACTTGTATGTCTTGGGACATGCTAATTCTGATATTTGTATTCAGATTTTACTGTATTTGACCTTAAATGTTTTAAAGACTAGTATAATATAAATGCTGTGTGAAAGCTTGGAGTATTTTCTACATTAAAAGGCAAACACTGAAATGGACGAAAGATTGTATGAAGTCAGTTAAATCAATTAATCTATGAATTTATAATTTATTTAGTTACTTGTATAATAGAAATTATGCATTAACTTTAACTTAAGTACTATGGGAATTAAAACTTATTGTTATTTAGAAAATTTGGCATTAACGACCTTACAACACCAGACGTACTAATTTAAAATCAAAAATCACATAATATAAAGAGGTTCGAGATTACATCCGGGACTTTAAATTCCAAGTCCCGTACTTAAATAATATTTGATAAATTAATATTTTAAATACATTTTTAAAACTTTAATAATACAGGAAAATATAATAAAGTTTTTAATTTAAATTATTATCATTAAAAATGTATGATCTGTAATTGATCGAGTCGTTGTTGATCATCCGGGTGCTTCGTTGATGGTGGGTATGAAGCAAAATGGCGGCACCCATCTTGAAGTGGAAGCGGGTGACGAATACAACCGGCCCTATCCCACGACCTCGTCATGGTCATCGTGCTGTTGCTATTAAAGATCTGATGATCGTATTTGGTGGTGGCAACGAAGGCATCGTCGATGAATTGCACGTTTATAATACAAGTGAGTTTTAATCATATTTCCTTAAAAATCCAAGATGGCGTCTTCTATGAATGGCGCGAAACGGAATCCGTCAACTTTAGTAAATTTTCCAAGTTATTATAAAATTGAATAAAACGTTATTAGATAGTGGAATTAGTTATAAAACTTATTCCGTAAAAAGTTTAGGAGAAATTCCGTTAGGATAAAGAGATGATTTAAAGTTGTTGTAGCGAATCCAAGATGGCGGCGCCCATTTAGAGAATGACATTTTGCAAGATGTACAAAGTGTTTCGTATTCTCTTTTTCTCAGAAGGGATTTACAAGTGTTTATGGTTATGCTATATCATTGACTATCGTTAATAATTACAAAATGTAATTTAGACACCAGATAATCGGCAAGGAAAAAGTTACAATTTAAAATTATCGTCTGCACATCCGGGCATCATTTTTGACATTGGCATAGTGGATACTTCGTTTTCTCAGATTTGTTTAAAATAGATTTTTGATATTTTTGTTTTATTCCTTTTTGGAAGAAATGTATTATTAATTGTAAAAAAGCCGGTTTATTTTAACTTTCTATCTTGCATAACAATGGTGTATTGGTTAGGCTTAACGTGAAGGTTGCCAGATCGTTTTTGTTTGTACAAAGATCAACATGCAATACTGATTGTATTTTGCTTTCTTCGATCAAATTAATTTCGTTAGTTACGATAAGTCCTTACCGTATAAAGTTTAATGAATGCTTTATATATCTTTCGTAGCTAAATATTTAAAATTTTTAACAAAATTTCTTTATTTATATCATCATTTACCAAATTTATTTAATGTATATGTATGTATATATATATAGTTTTTTTATTTAAAGATTACGATTTTAACTTGAGGCTCTGCATAAAAATAAAATATTATTAGGCTTTTAAATTTTCTAAGATATTGATTCAATATGCAACAAATACAGTAATTTGACTGAACTTTAAATATCAAGGTTGTGGCCGTGAATGTCTCTAAAACGTGAATGTCGAGTGCTGCTTACAAGATAGCGACGTTCAATGTTCACCTTTTAGAGATGAAAACTTCAGCCGCAACTTTGCTAATATGTTGACACATTTTGAACTGAATTGTTTAGCCATTCAGCTGTCAAATGAACAAAAATTTAAATGTGTATTTAAAATAAAATCCTAAATTTCAAATGAAATAGATATGAATAATTGTGTTTCCTAATAAAATATTTTCTAATTTCAATAAAAGTTAAAATAATAAATACATTTTTGCTTTAAAAATAAATTGTTTTACACTATTTTCATTATTGATGTAATTAATGAGTGTTATTTAAACTTGACATTTTTAAAATTAAAATTTAATGAACTGTTTTCTGTAACAAATATAAGTCAGGTATAGAATGTTTATAATAATAATTCTAATAAATTTTATTTTATCATTAAGTTTTCTTTATATTATACAAATGATATTCTATACTGTACTTGTTTAAGATGATAAAAATTCATGCAAACAAATCTTTTGTCTGTTCTCATAAAGCAATTGTTACTTTTGTTGCCAATACTAGAAATAAGATCAAATTATATATATTTATCTATGAAATGGTTTTGTAAAAGAAGTTAAAAATAATATACACATTTTTTAATGTAACTTATTGCTAGTTGTTAAATATATTAATGATGATAATATGGCTTCCCAATTTGTTTATTTTGGTTTGTTTACTTTGAAGTTTTTATTGGTTGAAATTAAGTTTTAGTTTAAAAAAAGTTATTTGAACAAAATGAGATGCCTATTTTAGCATATATTGACATTTGTTTATAGTTTCTTTCCATATAAAAAAAAGAACTTATATTTATCATTCCTTATTTTTATTTTTTCTCACTTGAAACTTGTGAATTTCAAAATTTCATTTTTAATTTCATTTTTTGTAAATTCAGTATTACTATTCCAAGGTCTTGAAGAACAGTTATCATCAGTAATCAGTAACTTGAATTTAGGATTTAAAAACATTTATTAATAAAAGTGATATATTAAAGAACACTTTAAAATTTCTTAAAATTCTATATTATTTTATATCATTCTGTGTTAAATTATAAATGTTAATACATTCAAATATTTGTTAAAGTAATTTTAGCTTTTAAAATAAAGTACTATTACACAAAAAGTCTAGTCTTTTTATACATGGAATAGTTATTTTTGATTTGATTATCATAATTGTATCCTTTTGTTCTAATTTTCTAAATCATTGGTATCTGAAGATGGGTGACAATGCAAAAGTACTTGTATTTTTTGTTATTTAAAATTATTTTTGTTTTTAAATTAATAATACTTGAACTTTTTCATATCATTTGGGGTGCCCGTGGTACAGAGTACCATTTTACTGCTTTAATAAATTAAGAGTTTAATCTAATTTCAAGTTTTGTCAAATAATCTAGATTGTTTATCATTCCTTATTTCTTGCCTGTTTTAACCAATCTGTCTGCTATGATCTGCTGTTAATGAAATAAATTGAATCTGTATTATAACATATGTAATGATAACTTGCAGCAATAAAACATACATTCATTAAGCTTGTTGTTTAGTTTCAGAATGCTGTCACTAATTTTTGATGACATATATTATTGAAAAAGTATTTGTGTTTTTATTCATTAGTTTTAACCATAATAAAAAATATTTAAGTGGTAGTTTGATATGACTTTTAGCTTTTAATTTCAACTCACTTCTATTAATATAGATTTTTAAATTTAATGAATGATTTTCAAATGTCAAGTTACAATAAAAAACTTTTTTTTTTTAAATTGTCTTTGACTGGTATATTATAACTTTTCTAATAGGCATAAAAATTTGACATTTCATATAGAGTAAGATTATTTGTTTAAATTTCAATAATTTAGTTTTAGTAGATTTTGAAATGTGTCATATACAGTATAATATGTTCAATTATACATTTAGCATTTATAGTAATTTTTTCAATGTAAGAAATTCAAATATGTTTATCTTAAGTTTTTATATGAATTTCTTTTCTACTGTGGTTAATTAGTTAATTATTTAAATATGTCAAGAAATATTTTTGTATTTTAATTTAATCATAAATACATTTATTTATACACATATACATACTATAATGCATTTTTTGAAATTATTTTTTAATAAATGTTTTTAATTAAAATTTTATATTAATTTTTTATGTTATATATCAATTATTATTTAAAATGTATTCTAACTATGATTTATACATCTCTAAATCAAAATGTAGTTTAAATGATACATAAAAATATTAGTGTCTTTAACTTATATTTCTTTTATATTATCAAAAGTTAGGAAAAAATATTCATATTATATATTAAAAATATATTATGCAACTATATTAAAAATTATACAGTATTATTTGATGATTATACTGAATTTATTTTTTTAGCAGCCTGCTCATTTAACATACATGATACAATGTCTTTCACTCAGGACTTAATGAGCAACTCTTCAATTGGATGAGCTTCATAGTTATGTGTAATGCAATAACTTGTGAAAAGATGCCTCTGTTGTGTTTTCAATTGACATTGCTTGTGACTGCACATTTCTTAGAATGGGATTTTCAAACATGTTTAAACTTGTTTCAGAATTTAAAACCATTCCAGGCTTATATTAATTTTGATAATTTTTCATGGATACTTGAAAATAGCTATGCTAAGTTTGATTTAAAAACTACAATATCAAAATATAAAATTTTTTGTCTCTAAATATTATTCATAAATTTTTTTAAACATTCATAAATTTGAATGTTTTTATAGTTCTTATTTATTTATTTTTTTTAATTAATCAAAATTATCAAAAATACTTATGAAACATTTTGTATACTGTGTTTAGAATAAGTCTGTACAACAGTTAGAAAATTTATACAGGTATACCTCACCTTATGTCGTTAATTTGTTCCAAAAGAGGCGACTTAAGTTGAATTTACTTGTCACTAGGCTAAACCACAAATAACCATTCACAGTTCTATATTTTATTTATAAGTGCAGTTTTAATAATATATGGTTAATAAGAATCTACAGTAGAGCATCGATTATCCGACTCAATTGGGGACTGGGGTTGGTTGGATAACTGAAAAATATGAAAAAATACATTATTAGTATAACGCGGTGAAAAAATTGCGACAGTATTCGTATAAAGACGCTAAAAGGGACGCGTAAAACACAGTAAAATGTCATCGCTGAGTCGTGTCACGACAGGATTGGTCGAATCTGGACCAATAGTAGACAAGCAGCCGAACTACTTACACGCTATGGAGAGTTTAGAGGGGTAAGTTGAGTTTAGTATCGTCTGTACAATATTAACTTAATTTATTTTAACTTTATTATAATTATATATATATATATACTTTCCGCCCCGTTCAGTGCCACGCTAAGGAGAGTTTAGGCGAGTAAGTTGAGTTTACTATCATCTGTACAGTATGTAAATTAGGTACCGTAAGTCTAATACAGTACTGTAATTTTATACATTTCTTGTGAAAGAAACATTTCTTATTCAACAGCCATAAAAATTATTTCTATTAATGATGTCTCCAAAGTTCAACGAATTTTTCACAGAAAAATAACTTATCAGAAATCGTGGCCGCCGTTTGGTGCGCTACTACGTGACGAAAACAAGCTTAAGCAATGGCGACGTCAAACGGTGCACACTCTGTAAGTAATCCTACAATTTTTTGTTTATAGCATAGTTTATACGGATTATTCCCAAAAAATTATACGTGTTTTGGAAATGTTGAGTCAAATTAGTCAAGAATCGATTAATTTTATGGAAGAAAACCTTTCAAACAGCCGTAGTCCCTAAACTGCATACGTGTCGGGTTGTGATTGGCTCATGTATTTAAGGATTCCTACAACGCGAAATTTGTATAACGTTGAACGTATCTACCGCTTTATAGGGGGGTCTACTGTAGTATATTAGTATATCCCATGTAATTAGTATATTAGTATATCACTATTAACCTACTTTGCGTTGAATTTTCATCGATGTTAAGCCTA